AGGAGGACATATACGAAGATAAGCATGGGCAGAGGTGATGGTTGGTTAAAGATAGGGGTCTGAAGGCATTAACGATACCATATCAGCGTAATAATGTAGCTTAACTGTAGAAATGCAAGGTTCGTCAGTAAGCTAGACGTATTTTTTTCCACTTTTAACCATTTTTTGAGATCAGAAACCTTGCAGTAAAGTGACTGTTCCCTTCACTGCAACATCGGGGGGTTTGACGTATGAAACAATAACTTCGTCTGTCCAACACCGGAGACTGACGAACCGCGCATCATCTACAGTTGGCAGCCTCTGTTTTGCCCGGCATGGTTTACGAGCCCCAATGCAACGACCTGCCCAATCCATATTCGGTGGTGAGGCTCAATTTGACCAAAGCAAATCCCTACTCACCGAACGCACAGGCGAACGTGTCATCGCATGCTTCCGTCATGGAGCCAGATTGCCAAGGGATTATGCCGCTCAAATCCGGCACGGGTGATGAAAGTCCGGCAGGTCACGACCCGCACGCTGGCCAAGCACAACTAGCGCCAAAGCGAGCAACTGCCCTCGATAGGGGGCGCCGTCAATTGTCGTAGGTACGCAGTAGCATAACGACTCTATCCTATAAATACTACAGCTGCCTGTCTATGCATTTCCCCTTTCTGCTATTATCTCCGATGCTGGATCCGCGACGGATTTCGAAACGTCAGGCGAATAAAATTCTTGTCCCAGCGTTCACACCTACTTCTTCTCCCTTTACTCTACTCTTCTATTCTTTCGCGAATTCTCTGTGCTCACTGCGGATTGTACAGTACCATTTGAGTCTGTCATCATGAATCCTAGAACTTGCAAATGGTGGCGGAAGACCCACTAGGCCGCAATTAGATGTTGCGGTGAAAATTAACGGCTTTCTGACAGTCATTTCACTTGCATTTTGCTGGCGAAGTGCTCAACACCTCGAGTCACGATCTTGGCCGCGCCGAAATAAACTCTGCTCCGACCGTATCTTCTACCAAAAGCTGATGAGGACTTTGGAGGACACCCTAGTAAAGTATCCGCCAAAATTCCGATATTGGCTGCAGCCTTGTCTAAAGATGAAGCGCTCCAGACGGCATATGGCCGAGACCCATAAGAGATGGTCTAAAAGCAGAGACCCTAGTCAAATTGTTGGGGATTCTGAAGGTGCAGAAGTTAACCACCGTGTCCACTTCCTTTGCCGCAGCTGGAACTCCAAATACAGCAGTTCGAAACTCGAATCTTTGTTCGAGATCACATGGGGAATGTCAGAGACAAATGAAACTAATACGAAAGAAGAGTCACAGAAATGCAGCTCTCGAGCAACTAAAAATCATGAATAATTTACTCAAATGACAGACTAAGTGGCTACCTGCATTGGTATACCCGACGACGGCCACAACCGGCCATTGGTTTTGGGTTCTTTCACGGCGATTTGTTCTATTCGTTTGTCGGCGGTCAGCCTCCTCCTTGAGTATGGTCTGAAGTCGCCGTTCTTGATTCTGTGCAGAAGAAATGAAAGGGGGCAATTAAAACACAATAATAGAAGGCGTTTATGTAGATTTTAATGGGCACGGGTGTTGGCCGGGACAACGCCATGGGGAAGAGCATCGAAGGCTGAATATAGAACTTCAAAGTGGAGCATAGCGACCCCTATCTTGAACAGGAGTGTAGGAGCCCGAAACTGTCTACTGACCCCGATACCGTTGTTTCCCACAAGACTTATTTTTCTCTAGTACGCTTGGTATTGACAGAACGAAATTTCCCGTTCAGAAAAATCTCTCGCTCTCTCAACCATTCGACATTAAGCCTGGCGAACATCCCACTTAACTACATAATTAATGGATTTGCCGACTGACAGAGGTGAACCCTGCCAACACTGTCGCCCTGCTAGCATCAGTCTATAATGACCTGCCGGAATTACTGGTGCGAATGGACAATCACTACATCCAGCGGTCTATAAACCACTTAGGCCAAATGATTTTTAAATTGCAGCTCTGTCCTGAATAGGACATCTCCGTGGAGTCAACAGCTGCCGGCTTGAAGAAGTGGGCAGTTTCACATACGTCAGGGCGAAATTGCTACCCAATGGACAGACCAAGGGCGCTGTCAGTGCCAAAATCGGTGCTGTTTGCAGGATGGTTGCACGCCTTAGATGCGCCTATGGAGCCACTGCAACATCTCCAGTAGCAA